AGCCAGGCTTTCATCAAAGGAAAGGGAAATACTATCAGACTTGTGGCGTTTTCTTTGCCGTTCACAGGACAATTCATCTAAATTTTCTTCTGTCTCACTAATTGCTCTTCTTCTAGATGAGGTAGATGGTCTAGAAACCGAATTTGAAGATGACGGTTTCTCTTCCTGTAGCTCTTGCACAGGATCCTTTCGATCACCCCCACCTTCAAGGTGACATCTGTTCTCACTCACAGATGTACCTGAGTCTGATGGTTCCTGCTGATTGACTACTACCAAGTTTCTGTAGATCATTGTATATATTTTCCTGTGCTCTTTCACAGAGAAGCTTGGCACTCCAAACAAATCTCCTAGAAGATCATTTGAACAATATACAATATGTTGTTGCTTCTCATCATATAATCGTTTAGTCATAATATACTGGCCAAGATAAAATATAACCTGAAATAGAAATGATTTCTCTATCCCAGAAAGATCAGTATACTGTACTCATGTATCTCTAGTGCAGAAGTTCTTAACCTGGGATCCAGGGTTAGGCCCAAGAAGTCCTCTTTCATGGTGTAAGTGTCTTTCTGCGCACCAACAGATTTTAACAACTTCATAAGCAATGGCTTTGGTCTAGCCAGGGTCTCTTGTTCCGAAGCTGGAATCTGTGAGGTGGCTACATCAGTAGATACAGACATGTTGGTATTGCACATTTGCCTGCTCCTCACCATGCGGGGGTTTTCGCGCCTGGAGTTGTGGGGGTCCCTTGAGGTTCCCCAGTTCCCTTCACGGGCCGCGCGGAAGCCCCACGCCCTGGGCCTCGGCGACCATTTCCACTCTCGGGGCCCAGGCCACTGGGGAGCTCGAACGCACTAGTCCGGAGAGGAAGGAGGCTCCTGGCGGCGAAAGGGCGCAGGACCTCGGTCAGAAAGGTCAGAGCCGCCCCTCAGGCTCGGCTCTTGGCTCCATCTTCTTTCTAGTCACACAGGCCGCACAGACCCCGCAAGGAGCCGACCTCGCCGAGGTTCCACGGTGCGCGCCCCCTATTTTTTTTAGATTTTGATATCTGGATGATGCTGACCTCATAAAATGAGTTGGAAGTGTTCCTTCTTCCTCTTCTACTTTCTGAAAGAATCTGTGTAAGGTTGGCATCATTTCTTCTTTAAATGTTTGATAGAATTTGCCAGTGAAACTATATGGACCTCAAGTTTTTTCTGTGGGATTTTGATAGCAAATTCAATCTCCTTAATAAAATTTTCTATTTGTTTAAATCAGGTTTTATTTTTCACATGAGTTTTTAAATTTATTGACATAAAGTTATTCACACTATTCCCTTATTTTCCTTTTAATTGCTGTAGTGATATGCTCTTTCATTCTTGATATTTGTAATTTTTATTTTCTCTCTTTTCTCTTGATTGGTACTATTTATCAATTTTATCAATCTCTTTGAAGAATTATTTTTCTGCCTTAAATCTTCTTGATTGTTATCTTTTTTCCTTTTTAATGATTTCTGCTCTTATGTATATTATTTAATTTCTAACGCTTACTTTAGGTTTAATATTCTCTTCTGTCTCTAGCTTTGTAAGATGCATTTAAATAATTGATTTTAAATCTATCTCCTTTTTTAATATAAGTATTTCCCACTTAGCACTACTTTAGCTGTGTCCCTCATTTTTGATATGCTGTAATTTCATTATTTTTCAGTTTAAAATATTCTCCAATGTCTCTTGTGATTGCTTCTTTGACCAACGGATTTCAAATATTTGGGGCTTTTTTACACGTATTATTATTATTAAATTTTAATTTAGTTGCATTGTGCTCAGAGAACATACTCTGAAATCTTTTGAAACTTATTGAAACATTTGTAATGGACAAGCATATGGTCTATTTTGATAAACATTTTATGTTCTCTTGAAAAGATTCAATGTTCTGCCACGGTGAGAGTAAGAAAAGGTTGGTAATATTGTAAAAATTTTCAATACCCATACTGATTTTTTTTCAGGTTCTAGCAATTTCTGAGAAATTGATGTTAAGTTTAAATTTTTATTATATATTGCCTATTCTTTTAGTTCTTTCAATTTTTGCTTCGTGTATTTTGAAGCTTTGTTACTGAGGCATGTACATTTCTGTTTGTGATGTTCTCCTGATGAAATGACTCTTTTATCATTATGACATGTTTCCGTGTTTCTCCCGCAATACTCTTTGTTTTGGAAACTACCTTGTCTGGCATTAACATAGTCACACCAGCTTTCTTATTAGAAATGGCATAGTATAACTTTTCCCTTCCACCCACCTATGTCCATTCCAATTACACATCTGAGGACAGAAGGAATCACCACCGTGCAATCTGAGGACCCACTGAGAGCGGGCTCTGGACCCACATGTCCTCACTCCAACAGGGCCCATGACGATGCTTCTTGTCCACAATGTCAGTGTCACTCTGTCCTTTTCCAAAGGAGCCAACTGCCATTTACAAAGGTATCCATGCAGCAGGAAAAGGGAATATCTGCACGTTTCACCATCTGTTAGTTACATTGGTCTGCAAGGTCTTATAAGACATGACCTTTGACTGCACCTCATGTGGCCACTCTCTCCTGAGATAGTCCTCTAGCCACATGGAACTCAGACATGCATGGTGCCGTGCCCATGCCTGGCATGTCCTTTGTGTTGTTGGTGCCCTTTCCCTCAGGTTAGGAATAAACATAAGCTCCCCCAAGCGTCCTTCCCTGGCCACCCTGTATAAGGTTCTTTCCTTCAATTATTCTTTACCACTGCATCTTTTTCATTTCCTTCGCAGCACTAACACTAATTATGTATATTCATATAAATACCAATATATATGTGTATATATGTTATTGAAAAAAATCCCTTTCTCGTCTCTTAGCTTTTAAGCCCCACAAAGACAGAAACCTTGTCTAGTCTATTAACAAACACTAAATGTCTTTTTTGGAGGGCATATAAAAGTAGATACTCAACAAATAAATTTTGAATGATATAAGGAAAAATATTTATTTATATAATTTAAATAGGCATTATACCTATGGATATATACAGAAATGGAAAATCCCAATCTTTAGAAGCCTGTCCACAGTTACGGGTGGGAGAGGGACGAAGTGTCTTTCTGCCCTGACTCTCCGCTGTCTTGATCGCTTGGCCTCTGGGAGGTCCCTAACAGCACTTCCACTCTCTCACCTCATCCTGGGATTTCTAGGCACAGGCAATATGTTACTAGTGGTTTTGCTCACCTGCATACACATAAAAATATATATCTGTCCAATGTTTTCAATAGAATTGAGCAAAACTACACAGCCCCAGTTTCCCTTTATTTCTCTCTTTTCTATTTTAAGAAACTGTTGGGTAGGGGAGTGCTTTTTGTTTTTTGGTGTTTCTTTTTTTTTTTTTTTACTTTCTGGTCAGGTCTGCAAAAATGCCCTTGAAGCCTCAAGCCCATTGCCAGAGGCGTATTCACAAAATTAGTCTTGCCTGCCCCCTAGTGGCGAGCCTAATCATTCCCGCAGTTGCAGAATATTTTGACAGGTTTTTGATTACACCACCGACCACAAACGGCCCTGTCAGATCGTGTTTTAATCACCAAGCCTTGCCCATTTCCCGTCTCTAATCTTCACACTACATGAAGACTTTCCCTTTCCTTTTTATCAATGTTTGAATTTATTTGTTTATACTAAATATTTATTACCTTTATGGTGAATGAAGTGGAAATTTTTAAAAAATACCTTTTATAACAGCCTTGGCCTTTAGGGAGGTTATTAGTCTATCCCATGAAACTATTATGATAAAGGAGTTTTAAGACTGAGAATAATAACACAAGTCATAACACAGAGGAAACTGTAAAGCACTAAGTGATTTCTTATGAAATTTGGAAATATGAATAAGGGATCATTTTTACAGTTCAAATATTCTCTCTGACCTCGCACCAACCTACTTTCTAATATATAGTCATTCAAATGAAGATTTTAAGTCAAGGAATATGAAATAGGCACGGAGCGCCCCATTTTAAAGATCTGTGTTTCATTATAGTTTTAATCCTTGGCTAATTTTGACAAACATGAAAACCTCAGCATCTTCCCTCCCTCCGGGAGATTCATAACTATTAATACCATCTGGGAAGAGTTTCCTTGAAGCTTTATCTTCTAAGGTCTGTATGACAAAATAATAATTTATTTTTCCTTTTTTAAATGAAATGTGTTGGTTATTGCTTTGCCAACCCCCAGATACGTAACCCGAGACATTTCACTCACTGATGATCATTGTCCTAACATTCCGGTTTCAGTGGCAACAGGTGTCATCCCCCTTGCTGATCTCAGAAGATGCCATCAATGAGTCTAAGCAAAATATATGCTCATTCTCCAGTATCGTGAATGATTTACGTCTCAAAATCTGATGTCTCTCTCAGAGTAACGTGGTTTATTCTACATTTAATTTTGTTTAATATATTGATCAGCAGGCACGTGACTACAGACTTTATGATTCATCTACCACAGGGTAGCTCGCCTCTGTGGTGTCTCCATCACCACCCTGGGTTGGAGTCAGTGATGAGTGCGGCTCAGGAGAAAGGAGGATTGAGGGCTGCCTGATATGCATCCAGGTAGGTAAATGTTTCAATTTTCAGTGAGCTAAAATGTATGCTTTAACCAGATTGCAATTTTGAAAACAAAGTTCAAAAGTGTACCTCAAGTAACACCTCTTCTCCAGGGTTTTTTTTTTTTTCCCATTCGCCATCCCAGGCCCAAAAAGATATCTCCCTGTTTTGAAAGCTTAGAATTTAACCAGTTGAGTTTAAAGAGCTGAAAATTTAAATTTTATTTAGTCATGGGCATGGCTATCCATACAGAAATTTCACACAAGTCAGGGGGTCAGTTTTTGAGAAAGCAAATGGTTCAAATGCTTAGAACTCAACTGGCTAAATTCTAAGCTTTCAAAACAGGGAGATATCTTGTTGAGTGGGGTGATGAATGGGCAAAAAAAAACTTTATGGAGAAGAGGTGTCGCTTAAGGTAAACTTTTGAATTTTGTTTTCAAAATTGCAATTTGGTTAAAGCATACATTTTAGCCCACTGAAAATTGAAAAAGCTATAGGTAGGTGAGGTCATTAACAATTATTAAGGTTATTTTTGTGTGTGTGAGTGTGTGTGTGTGTGTGTGTGTGTGTGTGTGTGTGTGTAGTGTAGTGAATGTCAGTTGAAGGATCAAATGAAAAGGGGATAATTTGGATAACAAATCTGAAGTTAAGACAGTAGGAAGATTTATATTTCCCATGTGGATTGTAGCTCGTTATGCCTAATGTTATATAGCACCGCCACAAGATGGGAGTACAACATAATCTTCCCTTGTCTCATGCTGGTGACAAGTACAAAACTGAAAAAAAATTCAGATCTTAAATCAAGGCGACTCTGTTTCTACACCAGTGAGTGCTTTCCACCCATTTTCCTTTAGAAATTAATGGTAACTTTGACCCTATATCCAATGCAGAAAATGTGCTTGTCAGAGAAAGCGTGTTTATGAAAATCACTTGCTTTTTAAAATAATTTGAACAACATGGCAAACAAAATTTGTTTCCTGGTTTTACCCCAGGTCCAGATTGTAGAATCCAGGAGTTGCCCTGTTCTGGAGGAAGCCCTGGTGTCCCTGGTGGGAATTCTCGTAGTATCCAGCTGAGTCATTGTATCAGACGGTCTTCCTTCCTTCTTTCCTTCTTTATTTTTGCAGGAATTTCTCATGTTTTATATTTGTGTTTAATCTAAGAGTTTTGTAGAATATTGAATTTAAGAGTTATAATATGATGTAGCCATTTGTTTTTTACTTCTGTAGCTTCCCAGAGTTAACCATATATTGACATCTATTACAGACTTTTAGAATATACATATATATGTGTTATATCTTATATATTTCACATTTATCTTCATATATATGAAATAGAAATAACCATATATCTGTAGTTCTATCTACATGGATATCAGATATTTCTGATTTCATATGAAGTCAATATTTGAACATGGAATCAATTCTCAATAAGATTATATCAACAATTCTTACAGATACATTTGCCTATATATAGGTATATAAGATTAACTGTATCTTCACATATAGAAATACAGTTACATGAAGCTATGGATAAAGATGTGCGGTGTATGTGCACATGCACGTACATGGCGATTTTATCTGTGTGTTTATAGAAAAACCTCTATGGCAAACTTTACATTTCTCTAACATTCTGCTCAAGATTTCCAACTGGATGTCACATGGGCATCTCAAACTTAACACATATCCCCACCCTCAACCTCTTCCTATATTGCCTGCCTCAGTGAGTGTCCTACAGGGAATGCACTTGTTCAGGGACCTTGACATCTTCCTATCCTTCACCCTGACCTTACAATCAAGCACTAAATCTCGTGGGTTATCTTCCAAATATTTCTCAAGCCTGTCTCTTGCCCTTATAGAAACTTCCGTAGAGTAGGTCTCCACTGGTCCCCGGCCTCCTTTCAGTCCACCCCAACATGACCATCGGCCTCATCTATCTCAAGTGCAAATCTGGTCATGTCTCTACTCTAGTTTAGCCTTTCAGTGCAACCCCACCCCATTACCTAGAATATAAATTCCAGGCACTCACTAGGACCTACAAGGCTCCAAACTACTGAGCCAAGCAAGTATTGTTATTCCTCTAGCCTCTGCTTGAATTGTTTTTTTCCACCAAAAAATATCCTCTGTGATGAATTTCACCTTAGAATTATATTCAACTTTGAAATCTATATTAAATGTTAACTAAAAATAATCATATATTATGCATGCATACATGTTCATTGTGTATCCACTTATATAAATGTAGATAATTAGTAACCAAATATATATTAAAATATCCATAAAGCCTGACTCCTGCTTGACCTGGCAATCATTTGATACTACCAAAAATGCTCATTCATTGATTCAGCAAATGTTTACTGGGTTCTCACTATATGATAGGTTCTTGAGAGACATTATT